AAAAAAACTTCTAGATATCACAAAAAGTGTTACCAGTATCCGTCATTTTGGAAAATTACTACTTTAGCGCTTTCAAAGATGTGAGATACATTTTTCGAGTAGGAAATCGCTAAATTGGAAGTTCTGCCGTAAGACAGAGTATTATACCAAAATAATTGCGAGGAAAACACAGGGCTAAGTAAAAAAAAAGCTATATGAATATTTCTAAGCATCCTTAAAGTTTCCAATCTAAATATCTCAGAAACTTCTAAATATCCTAAGAAATATCTGGATATTTGTTGAAAGGCCTATTTGTTTGAAGCCTCTATACACGTACTAATTCTCTCGATATAAAAGTTTATCAACATTTATTTTCTCCTTAGAACATCAATCAACTAGTCAGCCAGACAGGAAACAGGAAAAACAGGAAAATAATCAATTGGGCGAGCTTTGTTTTTATGCAGTGTCAGATTGTCGGTAATCTTTCTTGATGCATAAAATTCACAGTGCTAATTGAAAATTGGTATTTGTCGGTCAGTATAGGGAATCTACATTTTGAGCGTGGGACCGCAGCGGTTAATAACAAAGTGAAGACAAACAACCTTGCTGCAAATTTGCCGATGAGTTGATATCGTCAATAAATACTGTCGGGATGTTTGGTGTCAGCAAGAAAAATTAAATTACATACATTGTCAGCTGTCATTCGATATGTGAAGGAAAATCTCAATCTATGGCCTGTTTTCAGAGGCACCGCGCAATCTATATTAGCCCTTTTATCGACACGGGCGGAATACTAGTGATATTTGTAGCACATCAGTGGGCTTTGTTTAATAATAGTCGGTATCACTGATGAACGTGAGGTCTGTAAGTAAATCCATTTTTATCGTATCAAAGATATATTACTTTGAGTTACATGCAAATCGATTGTTATTTCGTATTCTTTTAATCAGCGCTGTTTCTGTCTCATTTGGTAGAAGTATCTTTCCGTTTATTCTAGAATTGATGTTTCAGCTGTTATTTCTACTCGCAGAAGGCTCAAGTCATCGAAAAGGTCGTCCCAGTACATTTACTAAAGAGCTTTGACAAGGTGAACCAGTGAAACACTGACTGACTTTCATTTCATTGCATTTCATTTTTAATTATTACATTTCATGTTTTTGTACGGAGTTTGTT